GTTCTTTCCCAGTTCTATCGTCTCAAAGACATTGTGTTTTTGGTTAAATGCCCGAAATAAGGTCTGTGGTTAAAACAAGATCAAAATATGTAAAATACAACAAAATATATTAGTAATACCCTGTGATTTTTTGCTAACAAGTGGCTAAATGGGACTACAGAGTTCCCATTTACACGGCAAACAGGTAACATCTACTCACTAGTCTGCTTCCAGCCTTTTGATCACATTAAACTCAAACTTTCAGTGAAATTGTTTTAAGTAAAGACAGAACGACAAAGTCATGTGACCGTAGTGTAATTAATTTTATAGTCTACGTTTAGCTTTTTACTTCTGGCGACTGTATTTCAGCATCAAAATTCATAAAAGTTGTGCATTGGCCTACAATCATCACTTCAGCACTCTATTCAGAAGAACAGTCCAGCACTTTTTGGATGATGTAGTAACACATGCCAAACATATGTGGCATTGATATTAAATATCTCTGCTATAGTGTGCTGATATTGCGTAATCAGTAAAAACAGACGCAGGATGTTTGCTTTGTGTCAGATTTATGTTTCTTAGCCCCCAGCTATGCTGTAGGTTCTCCGGGGCAACTTATTAGGCAATGTTCTTGCATCATTTGTACATAAATATCTGAATGATGAAGAATAACCAAACACTGCCAATTTCCTTGTTTCTTGTTGACGGTCAAGCAAACAAAGAAATGTTCTCACAATGAAAGTTAATTACTTACAGATAGTGTCTAATGCTCAAATACCATGCAGAAAAATTACTAGCATGATGTAATTTCTCAGAGGACAGGCACAGAGATATGTACAAGCAAGACGGGCGTCAAGACAGGAATAGAGTCTAGATTTGTGAGAAATCAGATTGGTAAAAATAAATCTCTCTAAATTCTCACTAGAATTAGACAATCAAATATATTAACATTCAAAAAGCTCAGAAAGGCCCAACTCTGCAAACTCTCAATGACATAATGACCTAATCTGATGCATACTTTATATCCACTATTGTTCAAAAATTTGTGGTCAGTAAGATTTTTTTTTAAATAATATTTTAAAAATTCTATTCAACAAGGACACATTAAATTGACCAAAAGTGAGAGTAAAGACATTATAACGTTGCAAAAGATTTATATGATAATAATTATTTTTTCTTGAGCCCCAAATCAGCATATTTGAATGATTTCTGAAGGATCATGTGGCACTAAAGACTATGCCATCACAGGAATAAATTACATTTTAAAATATAATACAATAGAAAACCGTTATTTTGTAATAATATTTCACAATATTACTGTTTCATTGTATTTTTTTATTTATTTAAAAAGTATATGAAGACTTGGTGAGCATAAGGGACTTCTTTCAAAAATACTTAAAATATTTTACAGACCCCAAACATTTTCATGGTAATGTGTCCCTGTAATACTTTTAAATAATCAAATATGGGCTTTTCAAACTTTAACCTCAGGTTAAAGGTTGCATTAAATACAATAAACAAGGGTTAAGTTTAGCATGGATAAAGAAGATTGCTGAAGTAAATTATAGCAAACATTGTCAGTGTTTACATTTTGTGTAAACAGTCTTTTAAATTAACTAAAACAACAGGCCCAACCGAGGCGCATATCCAGAGGTTAACAGCAAGGAATCATGATAGCAATCTCCAAAACACTCCCTTTGGCAGAGCACAAAATAGACAGTAGAGACAGGGTGAGGAGGGTCAATGAGGAGTTATGCTTAATATGACAGCTGTAGAAAAGTCTTCCAGTTAAAATGATAATACACAATCCAGTGAGTCTGTCCTGAGTTCAAGACTTTTTCCACTGTCTTGGTCTTGTCAGTCTCAGGAGCATTCAGACTCTATCTTGACTCAAACACGAGCCTTTTCTGGTCTTGGTCTTGACTCGAACTCTAGGCCTAGATTCAAACTCAAAAGAGCTCGTCTCGACTTTAACACTGTTG